TGACATGTCATATGTCCGGTATGCACACAGTTAATGGGATAACGCATTACAGGCTCAAGAGAGCAAAAGGGGGGGAGGCCGATTCCCCTCCGTACTATATGATGTAATGAGATTCAAGAATCCAAATGTCTGGGAAGGCAGCCCAGCGTCCACAGACTAAACACCGGGGCCAAGTCTGAGCACAGACGCACCATCGCTCTATACATTAGTACATAGACACCCAATCAAAGACGCCATCTGCCAAACAAACCCATAGGGGAATATCTAATCAGATAATTGAAAAGTATGCAAACACATTCCAAGTTGAGCTACAACCTCATTCTCTGCCTTTCATTTTAACATTGTACAATGCAGGGGGTGAGTGAATGAGGATTTTAGGCAAGATGTCAAACGTGTGGCAATATGGACAATGGAGGAACCACGTCTGAAAAGGTAGATTATTGGAAGTCATCGGGAAGGCAGCTATGACATTGGCCATTTTATACATATGAAAATATACATCTGTCTGGAAAAGTCCAGCCGTTGTTAATACATTGCTCAAAAAAATTAAAGGAAGACTTTGAAAATCCCAATGGGGAGGAATCTCCTGCTGGATCTCTATACTGACATGGACGGGGTGATGTGTTAGGAACTTAAGAATGCCCCATCGTTTGATGAAAATGATCGACCTACAGAGGACTGAATTCAAAGGCACCCCAAAAACCAAAGTGAAGAAATGATGCAGCAGGCGAGTCCATTTTGCTGAAATGTCATTGCAGCAACTCAGAATGGTCCTCAGCAGTTTGTATGGCCCCCACGTACTTGTATGCATGCCTGACAACGTCGGGGGAGGCTCCTAATGAGACCACGAATGGTGTCCTGGGCAGGGGTGGACTGACCATTTGGAAACTCGGGCACTGCCCAAGGGCCCGGGGTCAGTAGGGGGCCCCATGAGATGCCCTTGTACCTTTTTCATAGGCTTTTTTGAGTTTGAGCAAGGACACAGGGGCCCCATGATCCCCTATTGCCCGGGGGCCCCATGAGTTGTCGGTCCGCCCCTGGTCCTGGGGGATTTCCTCCCAGATCTGGACCAGGGCATCACTGAGCTCCTGGACAGTCTGAGGTGCAACCTGGCGGCATCGGATGGACCGAAACTTGATAACCATTTTATTTAGTGACAGGGGCTTTAATTGGCATTCAGAGGGCTTTAAAAAAGCATTTCCAATGCCACATTATGGAGCAAGTATAAACAAGCCCTAAAGGCTCATTCACATTGGTGGCAAGGGGTGGTAAAAGCAGGCGTTTGAGCTGCCCCCCAAAACGCTCACCTAAACACAGAAATGCAGATGCTCAGGATTCTACACATGCCATAGTAATGGCAAACATTAACCTCCCTAGTGGTCTGATTATGTCCGTATTTCTGTGCTCAAAGCGGTACATTTTTTTGCATGGAAATATGTTTTTGTTTTTTTATTGTAGGCCTGTAATTTGTAGGAATAACTCACTGAAATCTGTCTGAACAAGAGTCTAGTAAACATCCCGGGTATGATAAAACTTGAAACACGAAATCATAAATTATAATTTAATAAATAATCATAAAAAAATAATAATATAATAAATGTAATTCAATAATATAATCAAACCAAAAACACTGAAATGTGAAATATAGCGCCAAGTTCGCCCATCGCTGAGCTCAGTCGCAGAATCGTTTTCAGTGTCTGATGAGGAATTTCCCCCACCAATCATTATCACTCAATTCTGCAAGTGGTTCTGATTTACTATCGCTGTTCTCTAGCCGGTCTAAAACCACTTCTGACCTAAAGGGACGCTTTTTGGACGCCATGGACGTTTCTCAGTTTCCAGGCAGAAAGAACAGTAAAAATGCAGGCAGGGCGCCGGACAAAGCACTCGGGACAAAATGTATGTGAAATGGTTTGATACAGGAATGTTATACTATATGATTTTAGTGAATGTCGCTTTTTGTCATTTTCAAATTTCCCGCCAGTTCCGGCCCCCGTATGTCCCGACGTCGCAGGGGACGGAACCCGGATGACAGATGCCGGCATTGGCCGGAAGACATTGCCGGGGACACTGCAGGAGGGACATCGCGGGAGCGCAGGACAAGGTAAGTGATCGAGGGATCCCGGAGCAACGCCACATGGCAAGCCCGAGTGTAGCTCAGGGTTACCGCTTGTGGTGCTAAAACTTTACCCCGAGCTACACTCGGGAATACCTCCAGGGAGGTTAAAGGGTATGTCACATTCCATGGGCAGTAAGGCTTCCAAACATGGCACATTCAGATGAATGGGGCTGCACTGCTACTGCCCAGCAACTGTATGCAATGTAGTGGGTTGGCATCCTGAGGGTTAAAAAGGCTGTGAGGAGGCAACATATCATCTCGTCTGTCAAACGCCCCCTAAAAAGCGATCCACTGTGGGGCAGTAATAATAGCCATTAATATAACAGAACTAAATAAATGTATAATAATAATAATAATAGTGTGTGACTGTGGGGGAGGGGACATTAGAGTGTCAGCTCCTCTGGTACACAGAGACTGATGTGACTGTGGGGGAGGGGACATTAGAGTGTCAGCTCCTCTGGTACAGAGACTGATGTGACTGTGGGGGAGGGGACATTAGAGTGTCAGCTCCTCTGGAACAGAGACTGATGTGACTGTGGGGGAGGGGACATTAGAGTGTAAGCTCCTCTGGTACAGAGACTGATGTGACTGTGGGGGAGGGGACATTAGAGTGTCAGCTCCTCTGGTACAGAGACTGATGTGACTGTGGGGGAGGGGACATTAGAGTGTAAGCTCCTCTGGTACAGAGACTGATGTGACTGTGGGGGAGGGGACATTAGAGTGTAAGCTCCTCTGGTACAGAGACTGATGGGACTGTGGGGGAGGGGACATTAGAGTGTAAGCTCCTCTGGTACAGAGACTGATGGGACTGGCTCAGTGTTCTCTGTACAGCACTGCGGTATATGTTAGAGCTATATAAATGTATAATGTGTTACTGTGGGGGAGGGGACATTAGAGTGTAAGCTCCTCTGGTACAGAGACTGATGTGACTGGCTCAGTGATCTCTGTACAGCGCTGCGGTGTATGTCAGAGCCAGGGGCGGACTGACCATTTGGAAACTCGGGCACTGCCCGAGGGCCCGGGGTCAGTAGGGGGCCCCATGAGATGCCCCTGGTACCTTTTTCATAGGCTTTTTTGAGTTTAGGCAAGGACACAGGGGCCCCATGATCCCCTATTGCCCGGGGGCCCCATGAGTTGTCAGTCCGCCCCTGGTCAGAGCAATATAAATGTATAATAATAACAGCATGTGACTGTGGGGGAGGGGACATTAGAGTGTAAGCTCCTCTGGTACAGAGACTGATGGGACTGTGGGGGAGGGGACATTAGAGTGTAAGCTCCTCTGGTACAGAGACTGATGTGACTGTGGGGGAGGGGACATTAGAGTGTAAGCTCCTTTGGTACAGAGACTGACTGATGTGACTGGCTCAGTGATCTCTGTACAGCGCTGCGGTATATGTCAGAGCTATATAAATGTAATATAATATAATAGTGTGTGACTGTGGGGGGAAGGGAAATTAGAGTGTAAGCTCCTCTGCTACAGAGACTACTGTGACTAATGTCCAACACTGCGGTATATGTCAGCGCTATATAAATACAAGAGGTCTCTAAAATCCTGAGCAACTTTCTTTATAAAGTCTAACTTTAATGTAAGCACAGTTCTGCAGGAATCCTGTACGATGGAAGGACAATGGTGACAATGGTGAGGAATGTGCGACTTTTAATGTTTTCTTTTTATCTTAAACACTCTGAAAGAAATATTGACCCCCCCCCCCCCCCCCCCCCATATAAGCTACAAGCTGAAGTCTTCTACAGATGGCTCTCCATTCCTTCCACAAGAGGGACGTTCCATTCCTTCCGCATTGTCAGTACGGTACCGATTGTTACCTTCTCTATAGTACATCCCTGTTACAATGTAACATTGTTCTCTCCATGTTCTCTGGTTGACGTCATATTTGTAGAGGTCCTACAGGAGGCTTTCTGTAATGAGGTACACATGCTGTGATTGGTGATTGTAGGGACCCATTGTTGTCTGTATATTGTTAGGTACAATCTAATCGTTGCCAAGCCGTACAGAGCTCGGAGGCGCTGTGTGCCCCGTAATACGATCCAGATGTCGGCTGGATGCTTTCACAAAATGTGAGCTGGCTGTTCTATAGTGTGACAACGAGGGGTGAGCGAGTTTCCTCCAGAAATTTGGGGGGGAAATCAGATTTCTGCCCAATTGATGCATTTTGGCCAAATGGATTAAAAATGAGGAAGGCGAATTAAGGATTGTTTTGTGTTTTTTAAAGTAGAATGTTAAATTGTGTTTTTTACATTTTAGATCCTATTTATGTATGAAATGTCCTCAACTCCCTCCTTGGTCCAGCGCCAGTGGTCCTCTTTGGGCAGATTGACACCCAGTCACTCTGCCCATTTGTTAGAAGCCCCAATTATCATTTACATGGGTGGTCCCTAGGGGGCGCATCATCACACAGGCTGGGACCATGGTACTCCAGGACTAAGTGGCGCTCACATATTACATGAATGCCGCTCATTTCTGGAAGAATCCATCCCCTGCCACTGGAAGAAGCTGATGTCACCCAACTGGCAAGAGGATTTCAGCAAAGGCATATATAGGGGTATAAAAAAATTGATGGAGGGGGGGGGGGGACATCAGGGGGTGAGGGCAGGTGGGTAATGTTTCTGTTTCTAATTATCTTTTTCCTTTGAGGGGTTAATCATTGACTCAAAATTCTGTATTAGCTTTGTTGAAATGTTTTTTCCTTACTTTGAAAGTGTGCGCAAATCCTCAGTCCATCCCTGCAGCTGCTGTTTTGTGGCTCTTTCTGAACAGCCTACTGGTTACAAAAGTGAAAGAACACATCCCCTGGTACTCTTTAGACCTGTATATTCCAGGCAGGGAGGTGGCCACAGAGTAGGCCAGGGGCGGACTGACAACTCATGGGGCCCCCGGGCAATAGGGGATCATGGGGCCCCTGTGTCCTTGCCCAAACTCAAAAAAGCCTATGAAAAAGGTACCAGGGGCATCCCATGGGGCCCCTTACTGACCCCGGGCCCTCGGGCAGTGCCCGAGTTTCCAAATGGTCAGTCCGCCCCTGGAGTAGGCTTCACTATGCAGTTGGCCCATCAGTTGTTTGAGCTGTAACTGATCAGCGCAGATAAAGTCCGACCCATCCAGGGGTTAGCGGGCAAAAACATGCTTATCAAAACAGGGATGCAGGGGATGTGTTCTGTCACTCAGTCTCATCCATCCTCTTCACTTACACTTTCTGCTCTCTGTGTATTTGGATTTGTGGCTACAAAAGGAGATACTGAGAGAGCAGATTTAATTGTAGACACAGGTGTAGCCCAACGTTTAAAGAGTAACTCTGATGTAGCATCCTCCTAGAGTAGAATAGGCTGCTAGGTAAATTTAGTTGGCTCCACTGTAATCAGAGGAACAGGGGTTGATTAATTAGGGCTGCTTAGTGTGTCACAGGCTGCTGTTCTCTTGCTTCTCCCCGTCTTCTACAGGACTCTAGAATCATAATGGGAGGAAGAGAGAGCAGGGGATGCACCCTGAATATTTATGGGACTCCACTAATCCTTGGGGGAGGCGTGCCCAGAAGTTGGGAAGATAGCTTGCAAATAGTCTGAGGCCTGAGCAGCAGGAGCAGAGTTCCTGGATCCAGTTCTGCTGGAGGGGCGTTACCAGTGGCTAACGGAAAGTGCTTGATCTCTACTTATAATCGGGAGCTTTCCAATCATGTGACCACTGTGCTAGCCAATCACGGTGGTCACATGATCACAAACCTCATCCCATCTCTTGCCATCTGAAATCCGTTAAAGAGCCAGCAGGCTCCGACGCCAAGGAGTTAAGCCTCAATTACACTTGTTTCAACTTCAACACACATTAAAGCGCCTACTGCTTCAACATGCTTTTTGATGTGGCTTTGATGCTTCTGTGGTGCTTTAATGAAGGTTGGCAAATGCTTTTGTGTGTGTTGATTTTGTATTTGTTTTGAAGGGACTCAGTAGAAACCTGGCCAAGTAGTACCCCAAGCTCAGTAATACCCCCAGCTCATTAGTACCCCCATTCAGCAGATCCCCAGCTCATTAGCACCCCCGCTCAACAGATCCCCAGCTCATTAGTACCCCCACTCAGCAGATCCCCAGCTCATTAGTACCCCCCGCTCAACAGATCCCCAGCTCATTAGTACCCTTGTTCAGCAGGTCCCTGGCTCAGTAGTACTCCAGCTCTTCTGATGCCCCACTTAGTAGTACCCCACGCACTGCTGATCCTCCGCTCAGTAGTAACCTTCAGTTCTGCTGATCCCCCACTCAATAGTAACCCCCAACTCTGCTGATCCCTCACTCAATAGTAACCTCCAGCTCTGCTGATCCCCCACTCAATAGTAACCTCCAGCTCTGCTGATCCTCCACTCAATAGTAACCCCCAACTCTGCTGATCCCCCACTCAATAGTAACCTCCAGCTCTGCTGATCCCCCACTCAATAGTAACCCCCAACTCTGCTGATTCCCCACTGAATAGTAACCTCCAGCTCTGCTGATCCCCCACTCAGTATTAACTCTCAGCTCTGCTGCTCGCCACCTGTGACATCTGCTAGTTTCTCATACTCTGGTCCCCCAACTCTGCTGATCCTCTGACTCTCAGTCCTCTCTCTCTAGTCCTCGCTCACCTTATAGCGTTTCCATGTTGCACACCACGTGTGCTGTCTGCTAGTTCCTCCGCTCCAGTCCAGACCCCGCTCACCTTCTTGCTGCTCCTCACTACACACCAGATGTGATGTCTGCACCAGACACTCCCAGAATATATACACATGAACTGGAATGAACTACTGATGACTTCTTTCTGGTTCGCTTCTTGGTTTCCCAGTGCATCCTGGGATATCTCATACCTGCAATATCAATCAAAAAAGAGGGCTGTCTCTGAATAAAAGCCTCTCAAATGCTGCAGGTGCTGTTAGCGAGCTTTGTCATAGACTTCTACAGAGGGTTTGAAGCACCAAGAAATTGACATGGGGTATAATTTTTGAAGAGAAGCAAAGCAAACACAACAGTGTGAACAGGGCTGTAAGGTGACCATTTTATCTAGTGAGAGGTGCTTTGATTGGCATTCAGAGTGCTTTAAAGGGTGTCCAATGCCACATTTTGAAGCGAGTGTAAACTAGCCCTCAGTGGATTGGCCCAAGAATGTTTTTACATGAATTAACATATTGTTAGAATAAGTATGTCCAATGAAATCGGGAAAAGTTTGCACTTTGTGTATTTTATTTTTTGAAACTCAAGTAACATACAAATTGCTTATTTAGAATCAGGTAATTGATTGACCCAAAATCTGTATTGTTATATATAGTGGGATTTTCAGTGATTTTACAAATCTGCATGAATAAATCCTTTAAAATGTCCCAACAGGCAGCAACAGTATAATTTGTTTCAGAAGAGTTCTACCTTTTACCATTAAACCACCATCCTGGAGCTCCAGGCCATGACTGTGTAGGCAGGTGCAGTCTATTTTCTCCACTGCAGGTGGCGCTCAATTGCAGCAGAATTGCAGAGGGAGAGGAAGTCAGAAGGAACGTGCTCCTCTATGGTTTCTGGGTCACTGGGGAGACAATACGGTTGGATGCTGCCACCCCATGTTACTCTGACGGCCATCTCGGGTCAGGCAGAGTCTATTTAAGACCCTGTCTCTGTGCTCATTTTGCGATTGGACAGTGTAGAGACAGGTCATCTTTCTGTCAGGGAAAGCAAATAACAGTAGGAAAGGTTCCAGGCGAGTATAGACAAGATAGGGACACTCTATCCTTCCAGGAATTCTGCCATTTAGGCTCAGACTGGTCAGGATGCATTCCACCCTCAGAGACAGACGCTGTCGGCACATCTGAGACCTACTCCACTCCGCATTCCTATTAAGAACTGTCAGTGTTCCCAGCCAGGCACCTACCTGCTGGGCTGTTTGTATTGTTGAACTTTGACAACTACAACTGGACTTTGTGTAATTACTGCTGCACCAAGCTGTACCCACCCACAACTGTACCTAAGTTAAGATGACATCATCATTCTGCTGCAGACAGGAGGAAGCATTTTCTTAGTCTCTATCCTCTCAGTGATCAAACTGTATACAATGTAACTTTGTAGCAAATCACAAGGTAGGCTGCAGTAGGGGGCTGATCTGCGTTGGATATTTGCGAACACAGCCAGGAACTGCAAAGGCAGCAGGATTAAGGGTGCACTCACACTGGGCAAAGCTGAACTGAGCTGCATTCAATTGTCCCCCCCTTCCCCCACTGATCTGCACTCACACTGGGCACATCTACATCACCACCTCTGCTAACCAGACCACAGTGATCCCTGCCTATGTGCTCAGCCATCTATGGAGAGTTCTGTGCTGGCTTGCACTCATTTGGATGTGAATCCTGGGCATGGTACACCTAACCTTTCCCATCCATAGTTCAGGGCACTCATACGACACAAACAACCCGGAATAAGGGGGCGACCTGGGCCCAGGCTTTGGTTAATGCTGCCAGTGTGAGTGCACCCTTATCAGAACTGGGTCATCTCTGAACCAGCAACTCAGTCCAGGAAGTAGATGGTGAACCTGCATGATGCCTGAACAAAGATGGTGCCATATTTTGGAAGATAAAAACAGATGAAGGCATTTGCAGGAGGAGTCCTATGAGTCCTATGAGAGGTAATAATTACCTGAAAGGGTTAAACCAACACCTAACATAAAAAAATATTTCTGATGCTGAGCCCTCTTTAAAAGTCCCCCCCTGAGTTCTATGCCCCTCCCCCATTATGAGGTGTGACATTTTTCATTGTTAGATTGTGTTTCATTTTAAAACCAGCATGAAGGACACATCTGGGATCTTTATTTTAGTGCGCAGTTACTCCCCATTATGCATCAAAAGCCACCTCTGAAAAATCGCCCTACCATGGCGGACAGTCCGTTCTTCAGCAAGGTCACAGTGCCCGAGGCCACCGACCCAGCGACCACCTTCTCTGCAGCAACTACGGCTGGCTGTGTGGCCAGGACAACGGTGCCCCTGGCAGCGGCAGCACCAACCACCCCGTACAGCCCGATCCCTGCCGTCAGGCCCAGTCCGATGGCATTGCAGGTAAAACGTGTGGTGTACCCGGAACAGAACTTCTCCTGTTCTTCCTGCAGATGAGACTCCAGCTCTCTCAGCACGCTGGCGTGGTGGGCGGGGTTGGGACCCATCAAGGAGGCAGTGAACTTTTTAGTCATATCCTCCACCTTCTCGGAGATCAGCGTCCTCATGGTGGATGGTAAGAGGTGGGAAGGCTGAGAGGAGATAGAAAAACAAGATCCATGAAACCATCATTATCTTTTGGATGCATGAGATTCACTTAAAGGGGAACTCCACTTTAGGGACTTTAACCACTTGCTGACCCTGGGCACCTCGACGTACCAGTACATCACTCTGAACCTCTGGGTTTACAGGCACCCGTGCACCCCCTGCCTCTTGTGCTGTGGTTGGACCAAACACAAGTTCGTCATTAGGCTTGCAACCAATGATTTTGGCATTGAACCTGCTGATTGCTGTGGCCAATCACAGTATAGAGCTTGTGTTAGTAAACACACAAGCCTGGTCTGGCTGCTTTTTCTCCCTGGTTTCACTTGAAATCAGGGTGGAAAGCCAGCCAGTCTGTAGGTGAGCAAAGTCAGCACACATACACTTGTTAGGGTAAGGCTCGATTTATATGGCCGCAACTTGGGATCCAACTTGTGAGGCCCAAGTCACATGACATGTAAAATCCCATGAGAGATGTCTTAATTAGGGACTTCTATCCAATTTGTGCACATATGCTTTACTGGAAGTCCCCTCCTCATCTATATTGATGTGATTTGGATCTGACATTAGCATCAAAGACATTCTAAAGTCACGCTCAAGTTGCATCAAAGTTGCCAACAAATTGCTATGAAGTTGTGATGGATTTGGTAAAATGCCTATTTGTTTCTATTGAATATATATATATATTATACGCTATTTCATATAAGTTTTGCCAGTTATACTTTCCCTACACAGTGTTGTGTGTGAATATTTTCTGCCTGCTGGGCTTTGTGGTACTATAAGAAATCCTTGCTAAGAAATGTCTGCTCACACACACAGACCCCCTCCCACCGTGTGATTTGGAAGACAAAAGATTGTTTTTCTATAGATAAGACTTGGGAGAAGATCACCTATACATGAGGGAGATTGTTTTTCGTGTGGAAATGACCAATCAAAGACTAATATAATGCTTATGCTGTTCTCACATGACTCTATCATTTTGCATATATAAGCTCACTTTCTCATTATAATAAACTAGAAGTGTTCATAAACTGAACTTGTGTGTCAGCGTGAGTCTCTTCCAGTGTGCGCACATTTCAAAGCTAGCGTCATAAATTAGGACAGGAACAGATAAGCACCGGACATTTTTAGTCCTCTACTAACTCAAAGTCACCTAGCAAAGTGCCAGTTAGCTTCCCTCTCAGCCAGTGTTAGTTAGTACCAGTCCCTAACTGCCCACCACACTGTCACAGTCAACTATAAGTCGTTGATCACTACCATTACTAGTATGGTGTCTGTCCAGGTCCGTATTCTGATCACTGTCAGAACTATACTTGTGTCCCCAATAGTATAGTGTCCCCAATAGTAAATTATCTCCAAAAGTGTTAGGAGGACCAGCCCTGATCACTGCTGGTTTTGCGACATGCAGCAGAACACATTGTGGCTTACATTTACGAGGACATTTTATTGGATATGTTTTATAACAGAAAGTAGAAAATATTGTTTTTTTTTTTTAAATTTCATATTTTTTGGTCTTTTTTCATTTATATAATACAAAAACCCAGTGCTGATCAAATGCCAACAAAAGAAAGCTCTATTTGTGTGGGGAAAAAAATGATATAAATTTCATGTGGGTACAGTGTTGTACGACCACACAAGTGACAGTTAAAATAGCGCAGTGTTGAATAGCAAAAAATGATCTGATCCTTCTGGAGCTCAAGTGGTTAAACGTCTCAGATTCTCCTAATTCCAGCTAGTACTATCAGCAATAGAATAAAGAAAATGAAGCGACATCCAATCAGAAATCACATAACCAAACCCATCTGAGCCCATTGGTGGTTCACTACCAACCTCGTTTTTTTTTCCTCTGATGTGGCCACTCACCTGATTGCTGAGGAATTCCCCCAGCTCCAACTTGGTGTTCTCCAGGGTCTTCTGGTTCATAATGGCATAAAACATCTAGAAAAGAGAACCGGGAGTGAGAGATGGTGGTACGTGGCCATATATGGGAAGTGACCAATCACAGTGGGACCAGTTGGGTTTGTGCAAACCAATTGGCTCGTCCATAATTGTGATGTTACTCACAAGCAGGGGCGGACTGACAACTCATGGGGCCCCCGGGCAATAGGGGATCATGAGGCCCCTGTGCCCTTGCCCAAACTCAAAAAAGCCTATGAAAAAGGTACCAGGGGAATCTCATGGGGCCCCCTACTGACCTTGGGCCCTCGGGTAGTGCCCAAGTTTCTAAATGGTCAGTCCGCCCCTGCTCACAAGGGTCAAAAGCTAACAAAGAACTTTGACTCCTCTCTTATGCTCCTCTCTGGGGCCATCAGTAGAAATCATCAGGGCCCTGTTCACCTAACCAGTTAGGGCCCCACCTTCCTCTGGGCTCTGTGTGACTGCTGATGCTAGTATATGCAATGATTGGGAACCAGAGGAATGGATTAGCACCAACTGTGCGGGGGCATGGCTGATGAGGTTAAGCTGACATCCTCAGCCACGCCTACAACATTGCCTAGTCTGCTGTCCTGTGGTTCTGGGTCCCGCAGAGTGCTCAGAAGCACGATTAGCCACATGGAGACTCCAAGACTGGGTTATGGAGGGTCTATGCAGAGGGCAGTAGTAGGAAGGACATTCATAGGTGGTCTTTTCTAGGCCCGCCCCTGCTGAGCCATGTATGGCATTACTACCTGCACCCCCTACTGGTGGCCATGCCCCTTTCCAATTAGAGGACAGAATTCTCTATGTGTATATATAAAGGTCATGAACTATAGCAAGGAAAAATCCATCGAATCAGTTAATCTGAGCTGATATAATAGTTTCTTACCTCCATTGGCGTTGAGAAGCCATATTTTTGTTCGCTCAAGAACACCAACAAATTCCTAGGACAAACAAAGACAATGATGGAGCATCACACCGAGATTACTACAGACTGCAATCATCGTTGAAAAAAAAAATTAGGAGGAAACATTGGGGGAGATTTACTAAAACTGGAAAGTGCAATATCTGCTGCAGCTCTACATAGAAACCAATCAGCTTCCAGGTTTTAACTGAACAAGTTAGAAGCCGATTGGCTACCATGCACAGCTGCACCAGATTCTGAGTGCTCCAGTTTTAGTAAGTCTCCCCCATAGTGTCACCACATGAGGACCTTCGATAGATCCTTAGATGACGGTGTACTGTTCGTTGGCTTAATGCCATTGGGGCACCATTAAAAATGAATGGCACCTCAATGTAGTAACGCATCTCGCCAAGCTGCGCCGGTAGAAATGAGCCCCAAGTGGTTTTATTGTATGAATCCTGAAGCTGCCGGTTGACGAGAAGGTTCTGCTTTTGTCTTCTTATTCCATCAAACCAGAATGTGAACCATCTTCATACCAACCTTCAGCACGGAGGGAAGGTGTGAGCAGGTGAGGAGCTCCCCAGTCCGGTCCGTCTTCGTCCGGTGCCAGACGCCTCTCACCACGTCCGCTATGAAAGTGCGCAGGTTCTCCTGGAAGTCTTCATCCATATCTGTCAGGGGGGGGGAGGGCAGATGGGGCAATTATAATGTGACCCAGACAAAGACAACCATTACTAATCTATTCTGGACATTGTGTGATTCTACTGGGAATTTCCATCATGGCGGACCACCCGTGACATCAATCAACACTGAACGGTGTCATGCAAAATGGCTTGCTCTAGAAATGTCTGTAAGGCTCCATTCACACTGCTGAGACCCCATTATCGTTTAATTTCCACTGTGACTATGCAGTGCGACTTGCTTGCAATTTTGGTGTAGACTTTAATGCAACTTCAGTGGGAATTTATTTCACAGAAGCAGCTGTTAGCATAGATAAGGATTCCTGTGCCACTTTTGACGGATGACTGTTTTTTTTTAACTCTTATCCCAGTTCACACTACTGCGACTTCTGATGTGACTTGAGTTGCACAGAATTGCATAACATAGGAAATCACATTTTTTTTTTTAAGGATGCCTGTGCTAATTGCACTACTTTGATGCCAGTCCCAGCCCCCCAGACTTCGTTTAACTCACAGACGTCACATCAGCATAGATAAGAAGCATTCCTGAAAGACTTCCATAAGATCCCACATGGAAGAAAAATATATTCGAAAAATATTCTTCCCAAACATATTGACATATATTTGAAATACTACAATTTTGGCCGTATTCATTATGGATGTGTGTTGAAATGCGTTTTTATTACAAAATATATGAAACATATTTTTTAAAATTACATTTCAAATATACTGTATGTCTTTAAAAATACAAATCTACATTTTTGGAATGCATTTACAAATATATGTTAACATTACTTTTTTATATGTTAAAAATAAAATCTGAAGAATATATTTAAATATTTATATATATTTATATATTTTTAAACATATAAAAAGTCTGATGCCTGTGCTGCTTTTTTAACATATAAAAAAGTCATTTTAACATATATTTGTAAATGCATTCCACAAAAGTAGATTTGTATTTTTAAAAGACATAGAGTATGCTCTATGCTGAAATGCAGTTTTATTATGAAATATATGAAAACATGAAAAATGCATTGTATACTGTAGTCTTTAAAAATACAAATCTACACTTTTTGGAATGCATTTACAAATAAATGTAAAAATATATGTTAAAATTACTGTTTATATGTTAAAAAAATTTGAAGAATATATTTAAAAAATATATATTTTTAAAAAATGTTTTCATATATTTTGTAATACAAAAATATCTATCTATCTATCTATTATCTATCATCTATCTATCTATCTATCTATCTATCTATCTATTATCTATCTATCTATCTATCTATTATCTATCTATCTATCTATCTATCTATCTATCTATCTATCTATTATCTATCTATCTATCTATCTATTATCTATCTATTATCTATCTATCTATCTATCTATCTATCTATCTATCTATCTATTATTATCTATTATTATTATCTATCTATCTATTATCTATCTATCTATCTATCTATTATCTATCTATTATCTATCTATCTATCTATCTATTATCTATCTATTATCTATCTATCTATTATCTATCTATTTATCTATCTATCTATTTATCTATCTATCTATCTATCTATCTATCTATCTATCTATCTATCTATCTATTATTATCTATCTATCTATCTATCTATCTATCTATCTATCTATCTATCTCTCTATTATCTATCTATTATCTATCTATCTATCTATCTATCTATCTATCTATTATCTATCGATCTATTATCTATCTATCTATCTATCTATCTATCTATCTATCTATCTATCTATCTATCTATCTATCTATCTATCTAAAAATATATATAGATAATACGGCCCACATTGTAGTATTTCAAATATATGTCAACATATTTGGGAAGAATATTTTTCAAATATATTTCAAAATATATTTTTCTTCCATGTGGGAGGGGAGTATTCTGGGGGGTTTAGTTCAGCTATAAGGCTCAGTTCACACTATGAATCGGGTATGAACCGCACTGCATATCTGCACCAGTCACATGCGATTCAGTGCAGTACAATATGAGCCCATTCATTTTGAATAGGCTCCAACTGCACCGCATCCACACCAAAGTCGTGCAGGCAGCAATTTTGGGAACGCACTGCCACCGAATTGCATAGTCATTTTGTACCATGCGATCTGGTGCAGGGAAATGCACTGCGTTTGTGACCTGCATTTGGGGTGTCATTAACATTGCACCGATACCCACTGCAGATGGCAAGGGAGATCCATGCACGTTTCCCACACCGTATTCTAGTGTGAATCAAAGCTAAATGATAAAACAAACTTAAAAGCACATAAACTATAAGATGATTACTGAGCGCCATGTGGGGGGGTCATTACCTTGAAGCCGCCCCTGCCCCTCTACTGTTATCCCTTTGCCTGGATGGGGGAGCAGGAAACAGCGGGTGTGACTGCTTTTCAAGCCCCATAACACTTTAGGATAATTGCAGCCCTTCTGGAGTTTCTGTGAGGGGGAGAAAAGAGGGACACGTGTGTGACAATACTAGCTTAGAGCCAACAAATCACAAGATCAAAGGGAAAAGACCATCAAAGAGATAAAATCACAGAACCAGAGCTTGCTGCAATATTCAAATTCAATCAAAACATTTCTCCCTGCAGTACTTTTTTTTACCAATACATGTCTGATGGCGAGCATTATTCACCCTACTTCCTCAGAGCCCAGGTCGTCCTAGACCCACCCCAGCCCAACATTTTCCAATGACGTATACAAACAGTGTTACTATAACAATAAAACGCAACACATGTAAGCACTGCTGGATGTTTATTGACTATTGGAGGTTATTGTGGACTGCCCCATGGCTGACCCCAATGATCAATTATATAACATTTTTATACTCCATGTGACGTTTGATTCGTCTGTTTCAGGGTCATTTCTGCTCCAAATAATGTTCCAAAGGCGTCTTAGAAAGCGCAAGACTCTTGATATCCTGGAGCTATTAGGTGGAGGTGGGCTCTGTGCAGTGCCAGATGCTGATATCCTCTGCTTAGTGGTAGTTGGTGGTAGTCTCTGCCCAATGGTAGCTGGTGGTGGCCTCTGCCCTGTGGTAGCTGCTGGTAGCCCCGGCATGGTCCTAGGTGGTAGCATAGGACATGCGGTGGCCAATGATGGTCTGTTATGACTTGTTTGAGCCGATTCATTAGTAGGCAAGGTGTGAATAGGTGGTCTGCTGTGCACAGTTCCATCCACTGGCTCTGTGGGCGTTATTCCAGTTGAGGACATACTATGGAGGGTGACAGTCCATGGTGAGCTTTGCCTGATTCTTAATGCCGTCCTATGCAGTGTATCAGCTTGTGATCTGCTCTCTTCTATGGCAATTGGCTCTGTCTGCACTGCCCTACTAGTTAGCTCAGGTCCATCAGTCTGCATATTGCCATCTGCCTTGGTCATGGAGGGGCCTTCAGATTCCCCGAGGTCTGCTGAGAAAGTCCTGACCCGACCAGTTACAATGTATTCTGCCATGGGTAGGGTGACCCCATACCTGCGCGACAGCTGGCGTGGGGTGTAGTTGTAGTATTCTGGCTGTGGCATCTTGGCTTTCTGGGGCAGATCCTGCTGGGCTCTTCTCAGGCTACCAGTGTCCTGCTCTGTCCAACTGCCATGTGTGACCTTCCAACTGCCATGTGTGACCTTCCAACTGCCATGTGTGACTTTCCAACTGCCATCCCCTCACCCTGTCCATAGTAGATGAGATCATTGCTGGGGGCCAGGCTCGGCTTGTGCATAATGTACTCATCTACAGTGAGTTTCTATACATCTATAGATC